CCCCAAAACCCCAAAACCCCAAAACCCCATATGAATTCCAAATTGTAATTGGAAATAATTTTAAAGTTTTAACTATATAATCCATTAAATAAATCTAGGTAACTATCATCACTTGTCTTCTGTGTCTACTGATAAGTCATTAATATTGTCAAACATTTGATATTTAGGTTTGCTGTCTCTATTTCTGTCATGAGAGATAGTTCCCTGAGATTGTAATTCTATTTCGTTATTACTGTTTTCTACTCTATACTTCTTATTATTATCATTGAAGTCGATAACCTAGAACTCGCTTGATTTTCCTCCAGAACTAATTCCCTCTTTTTTATCTTTATATCTTTTATAAATATCTTTACCAAATGTATAAACTAAAGCGATTGCTACAACTAAAATCAAGAAATCTAGAATGTATAGAATCAAATGAGGAATGTCGAATTCATCTTTTTTAGATGATTTTGAAGTGTATTAAACTCCCTTCTTAGATTCCAATTTTTTAGTCAAGCTTGCACTCTAATGAGAGCCATCACACTCGGTGTTGTTTGATGACAAGTAATCTTTAACCAATCCGAATTTCTACCCTGATTGGATAAGTTCTTCTTCTGATTTTACTTAATTTAAATCGTTATTGCATTGAGCCCTTGCAACTCCTACTCTGTTATTTTCAATATCGAATATGAAGTTTTATTATCTCATGAATGTACCACCTAAGAGTAACTAATTTCTTTTGCTAGACTAAACTGCCATACAGTACAAATTTCCTTGTTCTCTGTAAAGATACTCAGATGGATACCATGATATTTGGGCACCTTCTACTAATAAATTGATAACTGGGAAACTTTCAAAATACTTCAAAGGGCCCTCTGGAAATTAATTCTCGTCATATTTAAAGCAACTAGCTTTACTTCCAGCAAGAGCCTTATTATAAAATTCCCCTTTACAATTGTTTTCTGGGTCCACATCACAGAACCATTTCATATGATAAACAACTGCTTCATAGAGAGTCGGTGGAAAGTATGTGAAAGTGGTACCTGAATCTATAAATGCAGTCTTATACTCATCACTACCTGCAATAAAGTGATTATTGATACTAATTCCATTAGCTTATACTTCATAACCGCCTTTGTTTAATAATGGAATCCATTAAATTTCTGAAATATGACTCTATTTATCATAACCTCCTATCTAGAAGTACCCTCCATTCTTCCCTAAACAAAGAGTGAATAGCTACTTTTCTATTAAATGTTTTTCATGCATTGCTTAGAAGATAGGCTTCATTAAGGGATGTCCTACATCCTTCATCATACCTAGAATACCATCTGCCTACTAAGTAAAAAATAAGTTAGTCTCTTCATAGACACAAGAGAAAGTGAATGGGAAAGAATCTTCGTTGCTGTGATAATTATCTCCAAAATAAATATTATCTCTGACTAGGAAACCATTATAGGTACTTCCCTCTCCGTAGCTTTGGCTAAAGTCGCATTTGTCACCATCAAAGCATGTCTCACAATCCTTAGTGCATTAGTATACATATTTGGTTTGAGAATCATCTACCTTAAAATATTTGTTGATATGATTTCCACAAGACTTGGGTTTGCAATGATTTTCACAAGGAAAGGCAGTAATTCCGCTACCAGTATCTACTATTAATGCCTAAGGCTCTTTATTTATACCGGCATATATGTCAACATAAAAGTATTCTAGGTCAGTGGAGTTTCCAAAAAGTGGAGTACTTTATAGATGAGTGTGAAATAATCTCCTAACCTAACCATTCACTATGAATTCTTTTTCTTGCAAAAAGGCCGAGATACTCATTAAAAAAGATGATGTGGAGATTAACTTTAAAGCAGATTTCATATTTGAATTTTACTTTGTGTTTATTTTATTAATTAAAATTCGAAAATTATCAGCATTTAGGATCATGGGGTTTTGGGGTTTTGGGGTTTTGGGG